CGTTCTTGTGTGCATACACACACACACACACACCCCTTATATTTACTTGATCCTCCAAGGGAAAAAAAACAAACAAACAGCCAATTAAAAAACAATATGCAGAACACCAAGAAAAGCTAAGGGAAAAAAAGAAAAAGAAAAAATCCTACACTAAGTGCATTAATACCTTAACAGGATTTGTACTTACAGATGAGCTTCATAAGTGAATAGGAATCCTGCAGCGTTATGAGTGAGAAGATGCATTTAAAAATATGTTTCTCACTCTCCAGATTTGTATTCTCTAGCTACACGTGCAGAAGTTCAGAAGAAATGTCTGCATTTGAAGACAGCTGGTTAAAACTTCCTAAAATTAACATCTTACAAATGAGATGTATTTGCATATGAAAAAGCAATACTGACGAACAGTTAGCACCGTGCATCAAATGCAAACTCTGAGTTCAACACAACAGAAAACCATGAAAAATTCTGATTTGAGCAATATACCAAGGAACTCAGAGCTTGATCCAGAGCATCCACTGATAACAAGGCTCATGTTTACTGCAATGGGCTTTCAATCATGTCCCACTGGAATCTGATTACCTCCCACAGAAAATGGACCTTTCTCTCCACAGTCCGCTGCAGCTGTCTGCAGCTACAGCTGTGCAGCCTCACAGAGTCTTTCTACAGAAATCTACATTAATTTCTGATTCAAATTTGTCATGTCCCTTGTTCTCACTCTCTATTCTAGATCATATTAAATGCACAAGCACTGAAGTATATTCGAGCATTTTCCAGGAGTTGCGAGCATAGCAAGCTGAACCCAAAGTAGTGAAAAAATTCAGTGTGATTTCCAGAAAACCATTCTTCAAATTAGACAATTAATTCTATGCTCCTATAACAAGGAAGAATATCAACTTTTTAATACCAAATACCTGGCATGGCACCCAGCACTTGCACAAACTACACCCTCCAGGCAAATTCCAAACTTCTCAAGTTTATTTGGAATCTTCATACCCTTTCATGGTGCTTAGCTTTTCCTCAGTTCAAGCTGTTCAACTCACACTATTTCCAAAACTGCCTTTTCTCACAAAACCTACTTTCAACTGTGCTTCTGCAACAAATCCTCCCACCAACCCTTCCTTCCCAAGCTTCCACTGCAGTTTCTCCCCAGAGTAGTAGAATCAGTTTATTTTTGCCTTAGCAGCCTTCCCGTCAGTTTGTGTACATCCATGAAGAACCCAAAGCAGCAGGCTGGCACAAACCCAGCTGAGCTTCTCTACTCCATTTCCAGCAACTGCATTTTTGTGCAAGCAAAGCAACACTGCTTGAAAGTCATGCTAGCTGCAAGAGCAAACTAGAAGTCTTTAAGCAAAGATGCTTTGGAGGTCAGCCTGAGGGGAAAGGCCATAGTTTTATTTTAGGAGTAAGGTTTTGAGAAATAATCTACATGTGGACAAAACATGGGTCTCCGTGGTTGTAACTGAACCAGATCTGCTCACTGAAAATCAGGCTCCCTGTAGATGCGGAACTCCTCTGAGTACCAGAGATGGAGCTCCAAAGCGAAGTTTTGCCCAAAGCAAGGAAGGCTAAGTGAAATCCTCCATCACGACCTAGAAATCACTATCTGCTTCTCTCACTGGAGTGGTAGAGACTATTCGATTATAGGAGGCAACCCTCATGTTTCATTACGTTGGCCCACAATGTCAGAGGCAGATGTTGGCGGTATGGCAGTAGAAGTAGAACCTTTCTGCCAACATTCCATTACATTTTGTTGGCATACGACAAAAGGCAGCAGAGCGGGCAATCTGACCAAATACTACCTGACCTGGAAGTGTGTATGAAGCAAAGGTGCATCATTAAAGTCCCGCATGCAGAAAAAAATTGCCCCCATTGACATACACTAATATTTGCTGAAAGATTCTGGAGACCAACGAGTGGATATAAGCACAGTAAGGCAGTGGGTGGTGCATTCAACAGTGCTGACAGCAGTGTAAAAGACAAACCACACTCCAGACAGTCACATACACAGATGTCACAGTACAAAACGAAGAGCATCCCAATCAGCTGATCTTCTTGAATCAGTGGATAACCCAGAAGTTGTGTATGGAGCTGAATATTGGTTTCAATGCCTTGAAAACAATGGTCACAATATTGGAATACGACAAGTTTGCAGCAAGTGAATCCTACAAATGCTCACACAGGAACAGAAAGAACACAGTATACGAGTTTGTCAATATGAGGCTGAAGGTGACAGTTTATTGGATTGCATCATTAGTAGTGATAAGATGTTGTGACACTGACAGAGCTGAAGGCTCAAACTTCCAGAGTCAGGCAAGAGAAGACAACGACCTCTCCTCTTGCCACAAAATGATGCCAGGCCCCATACCAGTCTGAGGACTGAGGTGCACTGTGCACCTTGTGGCTGGATCATCCTGCAGCACTCCCATTATAGTCTAGATTTGGCACCTATTGACTTCCCTCTGTTCAACCTGATGAAACATGGACTGCACGGGCAACATTTTCCTAGCAATGATGCAACAGCGTGTCACCTCTGCTGGTGTAGATTTTTAAAAACACAGCACGCAGGCTCTTGTTCACCGCTAAGGAAAAGGCATAATCAGTGGTGGTGACTACGTTGAAAACAGTGTTATAGCTCAGGATTTGTTCCATCAAATACTGTTCTCTTTGTATCAGTTGTAGTTGCCATAGAAATAAATAGGTTGCTCCAAAAGTAATGTCTCCTAAGTATTATGTGCATGCAACACAATGGAAAGCACAGCCATTACAGCAGAGCAGCAAGACCCCAGGCTAGAGGAAGGGAGAATTTTTTCAAACACAAAAGCTAAAGGCACAGAAATAAAGAAAAGAAGCTGCTTACCTCCAGAAAGCCTCATGTAAGCTGAGATTCCTAGGAAGATACCCTTGCCTCCATTGCCAGCCCTTAAATGAGGGCTTCACCCCTTCTGGTTACTCAGGTGCATTGCATATACCTGAGCTCCCCTGGTTTGGCCCTGCACTCCCACCAGGTGCTCCATCACTGCTTCAAGCCTTGACTTAGCATTTCCACTACAAAACAAACAATTTTGGATTTAGGAGTTTCACTTGTATTGTAACAGATTTAGATTCTTCTTTTCTTTGATTCAGACAAAATGCCTCTTATTCTAATTGTTTGAGAATTTCTGAGCCAAAACCATTTCACATTTTTATTTAACTAAATGATCAGCCACGTTGTTTTAGTTTCCTTAATTGGGTAGCTAATGGTGAACAGAAATAAACTGTCTTAAGGAGATAGCTTACCTCTGCATCAAGTCTGATATGAAAAACCAAATATTTTTGCAAAACGTCATTAAATCTCAAAACATTAAAAAAAAATTTTTTTTTAATTGTTCACACAAGCTACTGCTAAGAAAGAGTAACAAAGCAAAAGAATAATAAAGTGCACACTGGTCAAGTAATCATTAAGAGGTTGTGTGTCATTTGGGATACAGCTAATGGAGCAACTGTCAGACAGAGAGATGAGCTAGGTACCCCATTTTGTGTTCTCTGCTTTAGTTGTAACGTTATGCTCTAAAACCCAGCAGTAATCTGTAAGAAAGGCAATTAAGCTTGCCCAAGAGCAAATGTATTTTCCTGGCTCTGCAACATGCTTCACTTGTTATAGCCCATTTTAACAAGCCCATTCAGCTGCATTTAGTCTTCAGAGATGTCAAATGGACTTTTACTCTGGCTACATAGACATTGTTCAAGATCATACATTACGGACAGTACCTCAGTACCACTAAGCCACTGCTGTAGCAGTGACTATTTTGTAATGTAAAAACCCAGCTGTCTGCTGCTATGTGATAAGTGCTAAAAATGGTACGCTGCAATCCAAGCTCCTGTAGCATTATAGCCAAGAGAGGATTACAAATGGAATGACTGTTGTAAGGGCAGGCTATATACAGTTGCACATATGCACTCCAGCGATTCCTAGCATGGAAAAGGAGAACAGCATTTTCACTTTCAAGAAAAATTTCTCTCTAGGGTGTACTACTGGTACTTTGCTGCCAATTACTGCTTTCTGGCAATGAAGAAAGACCGTATGCTCATAGGCCATGGCATTTGATTAACAACTATAATATGGAGTCACCTGAGGAAGGAGCTGGGTCACTAACACGAGCTCAAAAGAATCAATAGCTGCAGTGTTGTTTCTCCATAATATTTTATACGAAAGCAAGGGAAGTGGGTTAGAAGAGAAAGGAATTACAACTGGAGAAAAATGATCAGAGCTGTTTTTAGATAGTTCCTCAGAGAGGAGGCAATTGAGATCTGTTGCTTTTGGGGGCTCTTCCCTACCTCCCCACAACAGCCTCCATCAGGTTACAATTACTAAAGTAGACCTAATCCATGCAAAGAGAAAGATGACATTCACAGGCAAGCATAGGGATATCTGAACTGAAACATCTGCAGCCTCACAAACTGAATATCAGACAAGTATGTAAATGGAATTATACTCACGGGAAACATCAAGAACATCCCAATAATCTCAGAGGGGCTAGGGTTGATGTACAGCCCTGCTGTTAGCTTGTGATCTTTCTTGTAGTTTAACAACCCAACATGCTGAAGTGGTAATTAGGAGAAAGAATTATCGGCATCTTTATGCATGCTCTCTTTATGAAAGAAGCTCACAAGTGCACATACAGAAGTTTGATTTAGTAAGTTTGAAGAATACGGACCAGTTGGTACAATTTTATGCATGTTCATCCAGCTTCCAAATAAACCAGATAGGCAGGTAAAATGAAGTATCTAAGGCCAAAACTGGTCCCTAAGACTGCATAAAAGCCACGCTTTATTGCCAGCTTTCTCACATTTACTACAGAATACACAGATATTTGGACCAAGGTAGTACACCTGAGCCACTGCAATGTATTATTTTCTGCAAGACAGAGAAGGCTGGGTGAGGTTTACAGACTGAGACATGACAGATTCCTGGGGCACGAGCTTTTCTCACAAAGATTTATTTTTCTGTAGCTACAGACACTACAAAAGATGAACCCAGAAGAAAACTCAGAAATTCTTGCATTTCTGGCTTGGATGGGAGGTTTGAAACAGCTAGCTCAAAGCATCCAATATTTAGGACCAAACCTCAAAAGAGCAACAATCAATGCCTTCTCCCCGAGCACTGCTTGAAGACTTGCTCTTCAAGATAATCCCCTTCCTCTGCATTCCTGTTCCAATCTTACCCAAATCTAGAGGCTGGAAAAAGAAAAAAAAAAAAAATGGGATGACACAATTTGATTCTAATAATATGATCTTCTAAGAAGTACAGGCAATAGAATCAAAGCACAAAAATAAATGTCAGCTGGTTAGTGAGGCACAAGGGCATTTAAGGAGTATCTCCAACTGACAAATCCCTGTTACAGCTTCCAAATAAAAACTAATTGACCCCCCAAAGAAAAAATCTCCCCCCCCAAGAAAAAAAAAAAAAAAAAAAAAAAACCAAGCAACTAAACTGGCAAGAATTAATCCAAAGGTCTGTAGTAGTTCTCTTTGTGAAGTGTATTTAGGGGCAAGATGAGTTTAAGGATGGAGTTGTAGCACCAGCTGAATTCAGGAGAAAATAAAGGAAGGGAAGCAGGACAGCATTAAAAGATGTATCGATGCAGCTCTTCAAAACAGAATCAGTCTATGCCACAAAGCAGCATTAAGACGGAGAACCCAATGCAGGGAATCCTGGCCAAAGTACTAATGGGCCCCATTAACAGGAGATCAGGCACTGGCTGCCACGTAATTTTGGGTTTTGTAAAATATCTTTTATTTTGAAGACAGGTGTGTTAGATCTTCTAAATTAGGTAGTCAGAAACATACAAGTATGAAAAATAACATCTTGAAGTTATATAGCGGATACAGGAGGTTAATAGCAGGGAGAACTCCCAAGTTCAAGGACCTGATTATCCCCACTGCAGCATACTCTAAGACTACGTTGGACAAGATCCTTGGAGAAGGTCACTATAGCTGTGCAATTCCCATTATAACATTAGATGAAAAGAACAGCAACCCCCCAGCAGGATAAAAAAAAAAAAGAATGTGATCTGCAGCATCTTCTTTCCACAATGCACACCTCCCCTCACTTTACCACAGACATATAATGATTAAGGGATCTCAGCGATAGACCATCAGCCAGAACACCATAATGATAAAAATCCTGTAAAATGTCACTGACTCTCCAGGAGAGCTGGGAAGAAAACAAAAAAATGTGCCTTGTTTTGTTCTGCCTAGTGACATGTTTATTTCCAAGAGCTACAGTGGCATTGTTGACCATGTGTGCTAACAGCAAGGCAATCCTCTCAGGCATTCAAGACAGCGCACGGAGATTATAACTGTCAAGGAAAAATACTCCTTGTGCTACATAATGCATCAAACATTTGGTGCGCTCTTGTTTGCTTCCCTCTAGGATGACATAATAGGATACTTTTTCAAGGCAGGCACCAGCACTGAGGTTAATGGTTGTTCTGTAAATATTCACGATATTTAGCCCTTTAACTTGAGAGCCAGCTAATGACATGGTCAAAGATATTAAGTTAATTGTTTTCACTAGCAAGAAACGCAGAATCTGGCATTGTTTCCTACAAATGGCTCTTATACTTTGCATATCAAACTCGGTGTCAAACAGACTATCGTTTGTGTCAGCCAGTTTCTACACGTTCTACTAAAAGTTAGCATCCTGCAAAATAAAGCCACCTGGGCAGGAGGAGGAGCTAGAAAGGAGGCATACAGCTGTCTTCCTCGAGCTGTGCAGATAGCCACCCTCACCACAAAGGGACTGAATTTAAGTGTTAGCAGAAAAAAAAAATGGCTAAAATTAATTTCCCCACTTCTCAAAGTACATTGCCTCCCTCACAAGCTTCAAAGCCACAGGTTGTTTCATTGACCCTTTTTCCCTTACACGTAGAAGAAAATTCATGAGGTTCATGTGACTTTAATAACTTAATTAAGATGAAAAATGAGATTGAAGAGCATTGCAGACTCGGTTCAGACTGTTCTTCTATCTTTGTTTTATCTAACCATCTTTGTCCAAGGAAACAGACTAAAATTTTCCCGGGATTGAGTACTTCATGAGGTCAAAAGACAACGTAATTACTGTTTCATTGCTTTGTTTCCTCTATTCACTTAGAACTTCATACAGACACACGACTCTGCAATGAAAAATCCAAACAAAATTGACTCAACATTTTTTTGAACCCAAAAAATGCAGCTGATTGAAGCTTCCTGTAACTACCAAGTTGATCCACATTAAAGTAGGATAAAACTACAACTCTCAAATTTGGAGTAAAATACCAAATGCACTGAAATTTGAGTGGTTATAGTGTCATATTTAGCAGACTTGGCTTCTACACAAGCCACTCAAACAAGGCAGGTATAAGGCCTTCAAATCTAAAGCAAATTTGTTAAAGAGTGAGGTGACTGAGTTCTGATGGAAGTAAAAAAAAATTATATATATATTATATATATATTATATATATATATCAGTGGCCAAAAACACACATACAAGAACAGAAAGTACTGCTGTGTAAAACACCATTAACTAGTTAGTAGGGTGACTGAAGAACTGCTTTCCAGGTCCAACTGGACATCAGGAACTGGGGCTTTTTTGGATTACACACAAAAAAAACCAACCAAACAGAAAAGCGTAGCATTAAATTTTTTTCCCTAAAGAAACTCTACACATTCTTGATTAAAAAGCTTTAAGTAGCATTCCTAAGAGATTGCCAATATTTAAAAATATGTGAGACAGAATGATCTCTGAAATTCAACTATCAAATTTCTTCCTCTCGTGCTTTATGTTGACACCTTTCTCTTGGCCCTCTCTCCTTCCAAGAACAATCTACAAAATACACTTCAAGTCAGTGTGGTTTCTGCTCTTTAAGGCATCCAATTTTAACCTAGCCAGACAGCTCATCTCAAAATACATTTAAAGTAATCTAATAACTAATTTACAGTAAGTCATTTGGAAGTTGCAACATGCCAACAGTCATTACGCTGAAGGCCTTGATATTGTACAGTTTTCTCATTTTAAGAAACATAGGAAGTAACTGGCAGCCTAGAGTGGGCTGAGATAAACTGGACACACAGCACTGAGAACTTTACTCCCATGTTTCAGAGTTCATTAAATCCGTAAGGTACTTATCATCTAACTATTCCTTCCTTTGACTTCTGTGAAGAGCTGAATCCAACTTCATGCTGATGAAGCTTTGCTGCAAGTAATACAACTCTGAGGTCTCCCAGTCGCTTCTTTACACTTCCTGTCATTTTTACCAGCGTGCATGAAGTGCTAGCGCATAGATGTATGAGAAAGGCTTGTTATCAGGTGTGGTTTAATCCCTCTGTCCACAGACTAACACAGTCTTCTGTGACAAAGGTACAAATCAAACCCCATCTCCCAGCCTTGGTAGGGCAATCACTACTGAACAGGATTAAGCCAGGTCAAGTTTAGATACAACTTTCTCACACCCGATGCTTTTTAATTATCTTTCCCTTTGCTAAAGATACCTGTCCCTACACAGAAGAGACAGAATGAATACCCTTCACGAATCTCAGTGCCAGTCTTGGCAGAAACAACCACTGAGGGCTGAGCTTCATTAAAGGAGCAAACATAACAAACAAACAAAAACCCACCCTTTCCCAGAAAAACAATGACTCCGGATCACCCTATTCACATTCACTGTGTGTTTGTTTTGAAAATACTCCAAAAGGGGTATGGTTACTTATGCCAACATTGCCAAATGCTCGATTACACAAATACTACCATCTGGAGGGAGAAGAAAAAAAAGAAAAAAAAGAAAAAAAAAAAAAAAGGATTTACAGGCTGTTTAGCCATAAAGAACTACATTTTAACTCTGAGATATGCACGTATGCGTCTGGGAGTTTCAGCTGGAGAGTCCACACAGCCCTAAGATGGGGGAGCTCCCACAGCTTCTGAAGCTGACTGATGGGGTGACCACCAGAGCGATTTCCAGAAATAGTGGGCAAAAATCTTCACCAACTCATTTCCTTGAAATAGAGCTGGATTCCTGGCACAAGAGCATTTGTCCTCTCATGTGGAGATGCAATACTCTCTCAGGGATTCTGGGCACACTAATAGAAAACATTTTCACCCCACCACCGGCCACTTACATGTAGCATTTCATATTTTAAGGAACTTCATACTCATTCCAGGTAACACCATGCTCCTGCAAAGCCAAAAATGATTTTCAGGAACGTTCCAGCATACGCTATTTAGACAGAATGCTCCTCAGCGTAGGTATTTTGAGCACCAAGGCAAAATGTTAAGCAATTCTTCTGAAATACTTCAAAACAAGTAGGAGAGTTCACAGAACTAAAAAGAACACCCAAACAACAAACCACTGTAGAATATTACAATATTCAGGCATCAGGCATATTGCTGCTAACTGTATGTATATTTGATGTAAAGCAGACTTGAACAAGAAAAGATTGCCAACGCACTGCTAAGTAATACTTAGAATGTGTAAATAAGTATCTTTGAAAGGAACTGCATCAATATGTCAAGCACGTCCTGCATTTGGATTATACTGGGCTGGGGGGTAGTACTGATGACATCAAAGTTTACACCTCCAGATACCTCTGGACCCTTGAGCTTAAGCAGAAAAGAAACTAAAGTAGTAAAGAAACAGAACCAAAGCATAGGGAAAGAGTCAGCACAGCTGTGGTGATTTGGACTTCTAGGAAGAGCACATTTTAGTGCATTCGATATGAACACAACATCACTTTTGCATTACCCTGGGTCACTGCAAAGAAGGAGCCACACAACCTCTGGCATCAAATATTGAGTCTCTGCCATTCACTTCTATTTTGTTTACACCTTGATCTTTTTTTATTCTGCAGCTCATTTCATCTTTTGAAGTCTTTGTTACTATGGAAACAGATACAGTATTGGCCTCCACACAGCCTGGTGACACCTTAGAGCAAAAAAGAATTAACACAAGAATCTAGGGAAAAAAGGACAAGGATTCATAATCATGAAGGACTGTAGGACAGTCCACTGTCCCCCCTTTAGTTCCGTAATTCCCTGCTGATAAAGCCAAAAAGGCTAGCTTATGCAGTTTAAATAAGTGGTTTTGGCTAGTGATATAGGGGAATCCTCATGCACGCACTTAACCATGGTAGAAAATAAGTTTGTGCCACCTCCGCAATTGGAATCAACCTATAGCAGGGCATGGCACAGACACTGCTGGAGG